GTAAGGTCCCATTTGATTCTCATGATAACCTTGTGAAGTTTGATATGACCCCTGTTTATAAATGAAAGCCATTCACATAATTGAAGTGACTTCATTAAAGCTCATTAGCAACTGTGGATCAGTAGGCTTAAGCTCTAGGGATGGATCATAAAGCAACCCTTGAGAGAAGGGGTTGGACTGACAGTGAAAGGATATGGGGTCCAGAAATTTTATTTCCAGCATTGAGACCTACACTTTGGATTGTTACTCATTTTATATACTGCCTGTCCCTCCCATGTCTGCTCTGGGAGACAAGGATGAGTCCCTCCACCCCCACGCCTCATTTGTACCCCAGCATCTAGGACAATGCTTGGCACACGGGCTCAATAATGCTTGTGAATGATTTATTAGTTCAAGAAGTGTGGGTTAGAGTTCTGATTTGATTGGTCAATTTTAAGCTAGAGAGTGAAGAGTGAAGATGTGTAGGAAATGATGAAAGCGTGAAGAGGAATAAAAAGTGAAATCTTCAAAGAGAAATGTTAGGGTGATGGTAAGGATAAGGTGATGGGTAAATAAAGGGAAGAGGGTGTTGACCCTTGAAGAGTGATCTATAAGCCAGGACAAAGTTCATCAGCCAGACTACTTCATGATAGAGCAAAGCTAACCCAGTTGACATCTAAATATAAATTCTGCTTCTGAATTTGCTTCACATTCAGTACCTCCAAGGAACTCTATTTTTACAAGCCAATATCTATAAAATCAGCACCATTTCCCAATCCAGCAGAAATATTTCTAAAATAACAACTGAACATACAACACCTATAATGCGACTGGTTTTCCCCTACTATCAGTAGCAACTTCTAAAATATCAACTAACATTAGAGCAACAGTTACTTGATATTGAATGGTACAAGAGAAAAGGCTTTGGAGTAGTATCAATCTGGGCTCAAATTGTCACATGATTAGGCCAGTGATCTTGAGTAACTCACATCTTACTTGGTTTCCTCATCTGTATACAGGGGAGAACATTACTTGTGTTACTGGGCTAGAGTAGATTAAATGAGAATGTGATTTATGAAAAGCGGAATAGACCATAGTATAGATTAGGTGTGATGAGGATCCCCTTAGAAATGGGTATATCCCGGCAGGTGCATTGCTCTGGGGAGATGTGGAGAGTGAAGAAGGGGACCAGCGTGCATTTCAGTTGCATAAAAATGGGTTATGGCATGTGTGGATCTGGTTGTATGGGTCATTGGCTAGTTCTGTAGACCTAAACTCAACAGTTTTGGCTAACATGTTTTCATGTGATTGTGTGTACATCCCTGAAATTAGATCGTGTAATCTTCTTCTATTGTCCCCTCCCTGCCCCCACCCATCCACCCACCCACCCACCCACCCAGTTTTATTGAGAAAAAGTTGACATACATCACTGGACAAGTTTAAGTTTAATCTTTTTTTTTTTTTTTTTATCACAACCATAGTGTATCTTTTTTTTTTTTTTTTTTACATGTATTCCCCATCCCGGTCCCCCCTCCCACCTCCCTCTCCACCCAATCCCTCTGGGTCTTCCCAGTGCACCAGGCCCGAGCACTTGTCTCATGCACCCAACCTGGGCTGGTGAACTGTTTCACCTTAGATAATATACGTGTTTCAATGCTGTTCTCTTGAAACATCCCACCCTCGCCTTCTCCCAGAGTCCACAAGTCTGTTCTATACATAGGAGTCTCTTTTTCTGTTTTGCAAATAGGGTTATCGTTACCATCTTTCTAAGTTCCATATATATGTGTTAGTATACTGTAATGGTCTTTATCTTTCAGGCTTACTTCGCTCTGTATAATGGGCTCCAGTTTCATCCATCTCATTAGAACTGATTCAAATGAATTCTTTTTAATGGCTGAGTAATATTCCATGGTGTATATGTACCACAGCTTCCTCATCCATTCATCTGCTGATGGGCATCTAGGTTGCTTCCATGTCCTGGCTATTATAAACAGTGCTGCGATGAACATTGGGGTACACGTGTCTCTTTCAGATCTGGTTTCCTCGGTGTGTATGCCCAGAAGTGGGATTGCTGGGTCATATGGCAGTTCTATTTCCAGCTTTTTAAGAAATCTCCACACTGTTTTCCATAGTGGCTGTACTAATTTGCATTCCCACCAACAGTGTAAGAGGGTTCCCTTTTCTCCACACCCTCTCCAGCATTTATTGCTTGTAGACTTTTGGATAGCAGCCATCCTGACTGGTGTGTAATGGTACCTCATTGTGGTTTTGATTTGCATTTCTCTGATAATGAGTGATGTTGAGCATCTTTTCATGTGTTTGTTAGCCATCTGTATGTCTTCCTTGGAGAAATGTCTGTTCAGTTCTTTGGCCCATTTTTTTGATTGGGTCATTTATTTTTCTGGAGTTGAGCTGGAGGAGTTGCTTGTATATTTTTGAGATTAATCCTTTGTCTGTTGCTTCGTTTGCTATTATTTTCTCCCAATCTGAGGGCTGTCTTTTCACCTTGCTTATAGTTTCCTTTGTTGTGCAAAAGCTTTTAAGTTTCATTAGGTCCCATTTGTTTATTTTTGCTTTTATTTCTAAAATTCTGGGATGTGGGTCATAGAGGATCCTGCTGTGATTTATGTCGGAGAGTGTTTTGCCTATGTTCTCCTCTAGGAGTTTTATAGTTTCTGGTCTTACATTTAGATCTTTAATCCATCTTGAGTTTATTTTTGTGTATGGTGTTAGAAAGTGTTCTAGTTTCATTCTTTTACAGGTGGTTGACCAGTTTTCCCAGCACCACTTGTTAAAGAGGTTGTCTTTTTTCCATTGTATATCCTTGCCTCCTTTGTCAAAGATAAGGTTAAGTTTAATCTTAAAGATTCCTTCTCACTCAGATACCTATGATTATGCTTTGCCTCTGAAAGGTTCTTAAAATGCTGTTAATGAGTGGGCTCCCTGATACTCCGAAGAAACAATTCGTTAGCAATATGTCGACGCTCTCTACTTGTTTATTTTTCGCTCGTTCTAATATTTATGCTTCTTGGAGTCAAGGTGGAAGTTGGGGGTGAGGGGCGGCGGTGGAGGCACCAAATACTTCGGTTTCCAGGAGCGAGCTAAATTCACCTAAAGGAGCTCAAGGAAGCGATCCAGCTCCGGTTCTGGGGAAATCCAATCCGCAGTTTTCCCCTTGCTTTGGTTCCTCGCCGGCCTTACCAACCCGCTCAGGGGAGACATTGGCCAGCTCTGCGCGAGGCCGGCTAGAGTCCACCGGCTCCCAGGAGGGAGGGACCGACGCTCAGGAGCCTAGAGCAGAGGGCTAGGCGAGAGCGAACAGGGGCGGGGGGCGCCGCAGGACCACAACTCCCGGCCTGCCCCGCGGGCTACGCCGAAAGTGGTTGGCTAGCTCCTGCTGTCCCAGTCGGCTAATGGGATGCAGGAGAGGGAGCTGACCCGGATTCTCAGGGACCAGTGGGAGTGCAGGGGAGGCGGGAGCTTCCTTACCACTCACCTTGCCCCTTGGGAAAGCCACATTTAACAGGTCGTGCGGGGCCAGGCCCTGGAAGGCAGGGGGACCAGAGCCGAAAGACGCCGGAGCGTCTCCGAAAGCGGTGTCGGAAGGGTCCCGGTCCCCGTGCGAGGCGCGCACCGGACGTCATCGGGGGGCGGGCCCGGGGGCGGGGACTGGCCTCGTTGTGGAGCGGCTAGTAATCCATCATGGCGGCCGCGGGGGTCCGGTGACCGTCCCTGAGCAGCGCCGGAGCCGGAACCGGTTCCTGGGTCCTGCAGCTGAGGAGCCCGCCTTGCGTTGTCCACGGCCCGTACCTGCACGGGGAGGCCGGGTCTTCTAACGGAGCCCGGGGGATGTGACTGCCTGGCGGCGGCGGCCGCAACCACGTCTGGGCCCGGGGGAGGGGGGTGTCTCGGACAGAGACCCCCCCCACCACAGGCTCCGGGCAGCTGAGGCGGCCAGGCCTCCTCCCCGTTCTGTCCGCCACCCGCCTTCGGGGCCGCGAGAGCCCATCGTCCCTTATCAGCTCCTTCCCGGCTCTGGGACCCTGGGGTTGTGGTCTCTTTCCCCAGACCTGGGGACACCCCGTTTCCTGAGGCTTGGAGGAGCGTCGCCCCCCGGAGTAAGCCGCCCGTGCCCCCCCACCCCACCCGCCCCGGCAGCCTCCCTCTTTACCCCCAAGCCGCCCCTTAACTCCGATTCCCGGCCTCAAGTTTGCCCTCGGAGCGCCCCCCTCATTCAAATCCCCTCCCTGCTGTCAAGTGGCCTCCCCTTCCCCCCACGTTGCTCCCACGAGCTTGTAATGCCCTGACTTCTTCCAATGTCACCTACGGCCCCCTCAGCCTCAGCCCAGCCAGAAACTTTAATGCAGAGGAAAAGCCTGGACTGGTTTCACAGGCCTTTTAAAAAGCGGACTTAAAAAGTTGCTGGCCATGCATTCCTTCTCGTCAGAGGGCCAGCTCTCGCTGAAGTCGGGGTGACCCGTGTCCTTTTCCGGAGAGCAGGGTAGAGGAAAAGCAGGAGCGGCAGCTAGTGTGGCAGGAAATTTGTTGGAAGATGGAGACACCAAGATAGAGGGTGGGTGACTTCCCCAGGAAAAGTTCTGGAGGAGCATTCAAAGACCGATCCACGTTTCCTCGATGTGTGGAAATCGACACGACTTTAGCCTCACTGACCGTTGTACAGCATCCCCTGTGAATATTTCTCTTTAAGTTTTTCTCCTTGAGAGGGAGGAAACTTAGCCAGTAAAAGACACTTGAAATCCAGGAACTTTGGGGTCGCACTGCAGTTACATTATTTCGAATTGATTAACTGCGAATATAGTCGGAACTCCCGTTTGCACACGTCAACCTAAAATCTTCGCTTCCTTTTTTTGTGGAAGTTGTCTTGTGATTGACCTCAGTTACTGACTGGTGAAGATGCGGTGAATGTGAAATCCCACGTAAAGACCATTTCCTTCTCAGCTCACTGATCATTCTGAAAGACCTTGAACCCTCTTCTGGAAAGGGGTGCCTATCCTTGCTTTATGGGGCAGCAGCCTGGAAAAGTTCTTGGGGACCAAAGGAGGCCAAGTCTGCCTGCCCTGCACTTTATCAAAGGAGCAGGCAAGAAGGAATCATCGAGGCACGGCGGTCCACACTGCAATGTTTTTGTGGAACATGGTGAGTGCTCTTCAAGATTTCTGGTCCTGTTTTCCTTTTTGCCATGCCTAAGGAACTTTTGAACCACAGGGCTTGTGTTGGTTCCTTCCAGTTCTGTTTAAAACTTCAATTCCTGTAGTTATCTTTTACTCTCGGGTGGAACTTTCTTTGTATAAGAAAAAGTTACTTGGTGACATGGGATGGCTTTATTCAAAGTCTTATGCTTATTTCTTGCCTGATTCCCTTTCTAACTCACTGTTGACCTTGGACAAGCCATTTTACTATTCCGGCCTCCTGAGGAGGTTGGGCTTAAGTGATTTCTCAGGATCCATAGTCCATGATTCTGCTCTGACCTACGGCCTGGCCTGGGCTCTTCCTTCCTCTGAGGTACATGGATCCTTCACTGCTTTACCTGTGGGGAGCTTTCAATCTTATCCTCAATGGGGTTTGTGCACCCCCCAGAGTGCCCCCACAGGCCCTAGTTGACACTTTCAATCTTATCCTCAAAGGGGTTTGTGCACCCCCAGAGGCCCCCACAGGCCCTAGTTGACACTAATAACCTTGATCTTTTCAGTCATAAGTAGAGCTTGAAAATCCTCACTTTGGAACTATGTGGAAACAGTTGAGGGGAGGCCACATTCCTTGTGAACTGAGGATCCCCAGCTTTCAGTGGTTTCACCTGAGACAGGGAATGTCCTTTCCTCAGAATGGAGCTTTTTCCTCCTCCTCTCTTTGTTTCACATGACACTTGGGGCAAAAAAGGTTGTCTTTGACATTTTTATGAACACCACTGGCATTTGAGTGCTGACAGTACATATTATACTGGTCACGTCCAGTAATTCTGCATGAAGTTTTAAAGCTAAGGGTCAGCTTAGACTGATGTCTGTGCCACGCACCAATTAATTAGCATCCTGTTTGTACTGTCACAGCCTGACATTTTTCAGACCTTGTACTTATTAAAATATCTGTCGAGCTCACCCACCCTCTGTAAGCAAATGGAAGACGTGTGCAAGTAGCATATACTTTGAAATTCAATCACAAATACCCTTAACAATCTGTGACTACAATAAACAAACTTCTCTATTCAGTGAACTTGTATTTGACAATTGAGGTTTGATTTTCTAAATAATCTGGGTACTTGGATTTTGCTTTTGTCTTGAAACCCGTTGGATTTTACTCTTGCCGTGAAACACGAGTTGTATTTTAGCGTTGGGTTTAGACGGGTAAATAGAGTAATGTATTATGACACTTCCCACAGTCAAGATTTGTAAGTGAATTATTTGCATTTCAACTGGTGATGATCATGCAACCTTAGGTAGTGAAAATTGTTCAGTCTCTGAGCCATGTCCAACTTTCTGCAACTCCATAGACTGCATCTTGCAAGGCTTCCCTGTGCTTCACTACCTCCCGGAGTTTGTTCATATTCATGTCCACTGAACCAGTGATGCCATCCAACCATCTCATCCTCTGCCACCCCCAGTGAAAATTGGTAGAGGCTTTTTGGAGAGCTTTGGCCAAACATATCTGAATTAAAATGTACATAGCAGTGACCCAGTAATCTCGCTTCTAGGAAGCTGTCCTAGCATGGGACAGTGTAGTGACCTTGGTGTGCCTTTCACCCCTTCAGGGGGTCCAGAGGGGGAAACTTTTCATGTTAACACAATACTAAGATGGTGGGCTTCCCCGGTGGCTCATCAATAAAGAGTGCACCTGCAGTGTAGGAGTCGAGGGTTCCACCCCTGGGTCAGGAAGGTCCCCTGGAGAAGGGAATGGCAACCCATTCAAGTATTCTTGCCTGGAAAATCCCATGGACAGAGGAGCCTGGAGGGTTACAGTCCATGGGGTCGCAAAGAGTTGGATATGACTGAGGTGACCTCACACAAGATGTTATTTGCAATCTTTTCAGTAATGGTGCAAAAGTAATGCAGGCTTCTAAGCATGAATCAAGATTGTGGCAACTGACCATAGTAGCCATTGTGTTCTTCATGCCATGCACACGTAGTAAAATAGTAAAATTAAATAAATATATATATTTTTTGTTTTTCACTTAAGAATGTTCCTGATGAAACAGCAAAAATTATTAGTTTTATCAGCTCTCAACTGTTACGTATATATCTTTGTAATCTGTGAAGGAACTGGAAAATACTTCTTTCTGTATGCTGTTTGTCTCTAGGAAGAGCTTTGGGTAATGGTTAGTTTGAGCTGAACTTGCTGCTTTTTTCATAGACTACCATTTTTACTGACAAACTGTGGTTATTCAGATTTAAAAAATTTATTAAGTATTTCAAGGAAAACAGCTGGTAGTGTCTGTTGTCAATGAAAACATCTTTGCTTTCCAGCAGAAATTAGGGTTTTGGAAAACTTGTATCTGCTCCTGTGAAGTAGAGATTGGTGGTAATAAACACACTATTTTGATATCTTATAATGGAATACTTATTTGGAAGACATACATGATTCAGTGAACTGATATTTTGTAAATGACAGCACATGATATTGTAAAATCAAGCACAGGTAAGAAAGATTCATTCAGGGGGCAAGATGGACCATTGAATTTTAATATAACAGAATACAGATATTAATCAGAGTTTTAGATTCTATTTCAAAACTAGCCTTTAGGAAACTACCACTTACGAGTTTGATGTAGCTTCAAAGAACAGTATCTACAGTTATCTATAAACAGGGGAAAACAAGCTATTTCCTGGTGAAAATAAAAATGTTTATTTTTAGGTGAACAAATGATAATTTAAAATTTTCAGTTTAAATTTATACTATAGTAAATATTGATGAGATAATCTATATAAATAAAAGCACTCTGGGATTCTGTATAATGTATGGTTATAAGAGTTGGACTGTGAAGAAAGCTGAGTGCCAAAAAATTGATGCTTTTGAACTGTGGTGTTGGAGAAGACTCTTGAGAGTCCCTTGCACTGCAAGGAGATCCAACCAGTCCATCCTAAAGGAGATCAGTCCTGGGTGTTCATTGGAAGGACTGATGCTGAAGCTGAAACTCCAGTACTTTGGCCACTTCATGTGAAGGGTTGACTCATTGGAAAAGACCCTGATGCTGGGAGGGAATGGGGGCAGGAGGAGAAGGGGACGACAGAGGATGAGATGACTGGATGGCATCACCAACTCGATGGACATGAGTTTGAGTAAACTCCGGGAGTTGGTGATGGACAGGGAGGCCTGGCCTGCTGCGATTCATGGGGTCGCAAAGAGTCGGACACGACTGAGCGACTGAACTGAACTGAACTGACTAATAGAAAGTCTATCAAGAAGTCATATCAGGGAGTGAGCAAACAAAGAGAAATAGGAAATCATATAAGGATGTTTATTGCCAACATACTGTAAGTGCCAGCACGGAAAGCTGTCCGTGTAATGGTAAGTGGAAAAAAGCAATTTGGGGATCAGTCTGCATGGTGTGGCCCCATTTTTGTAAAAGAAAAACTATTTATTTGCACATGTACAGAAAAAAGTATAGACGAGTTTAGACTGATATAATTGTTAATCTCTAGGGAATTGGGATTTAGGTGGAATAGAAAACTTGTACTTTTTACTTTGCATTTGTGATGTTTCAGGCTTTTTACAACAAATTTGTTCTATTTTGTAATACCCAAAGTGAAAGTGAAAGTGAAGTCGCTCAGTCATGTCCGACTCTTTGTGACCCCATGGACTGTAGCCTACCAGGCTCCTCCCTCCATGGGATTCTCCAGGCAAGAGTACTGGAGTGGGTTGCCATTTCCTTCTCCAGGAGATCTTCCCAACTCAGGGATTGAACCAGGGTCTCCCTCATTCCAGGCAGATGCTTTAACCTCTGAGCCACCAGGGAAGCCCAATACCCAAATTAGGAGGGTTTAAAAAACAAATTGATGGTATCTCAGCCAAATAGTCAGTTCTTTGTGATAAATATTGCTTATTGAAAACAATTGCCTAGGTCATGTTTTAACTGAAGACAAGTGAATTTCTTTGGACTTTGGATATACTTTTCCTAGGGGAGCAAATGGTTCTTGATCTCTCACAGGCTGATCTTTCTAGAGTTGGTTAATATCCATATAGTTTGGATTAAAAACCTTGCAGCCGTAACATACAGTGTTGGACCAGACATGAATCTGGAAGCTAAGAATAATGTTGTGTGGTCTGGTGGTGGTGATGAACCTGAATGGGCAGATGGCAGCTTTTTGCTAGGATCATTCGGGGTCAAAGGGCTGGTCACAGGTACAGGCAATGGGGGGAAGGAAACTGTAGTATTAGTTCATGGACCTTCTGTTCCTTTCAAATTTCAGTGTCTCGATTAAGAAAATTCACTGACCTTTTCCAGTTCTGTGGCCATTGCTGAGCTTTCCAAATTTGTTAGCATATTGAGTGCAGCACTTTAACAGCATCTTCTTTTAGCATTTGAAATAGCTCAGCTGGAATTCCATCACCTTGACTAGTTTTGTTCACAGTAATGCTTCCTAAGGTCCACTTGAATTCACACTCCAGGATGTCTGGCTCTAGGTGAGTGATCACACCATTGTGGTTATCTGGATCATTAAGACCTTTTTTGTATAGTTCTGTGTATTCTTGGCACCTCTTAATCTCTTCTGCTTCTGTTAGTTCCTTGCCATTTCTGTCCTTTATTGTGCCCATCTTTGTGTGAAAAGTTCCCTTGTATCTTCAGTTTTCTTGAGGAGATCTCTAGTCTTTCCCATTCTATTGTTTTCCTCTATTTCTTTACATTGTTCACTTAAGAAGGCTTTCTTGTCTCTCCTTGCTGTTCTCTGGAACTCTGCATGCAGTTGAGTGTATCTTTCCCTTTCTCCTTTTCCTTTCACTTTTCTTCTTTCCTCAGCTATTTGTAAGGTCTCCTCAGACAGCCATTTTGCCTTCTTGCATTTCTTTTTCTTTGGGATGGTTATGTACAATGTTATGAACCTCTGTCTGTATTTCTTCAGGCACTCTGTCTACCAGATCTAATCCCTTGAATCTATTCGTCATCTCCACCATATACTCATAAGGGGTTTGATTTAGGTCATACCTGA